CTGTCTATGATGATGATGATGATGATGACTCAAATTTTGCAAGACTCGATGGCTGGAAGATCTTCCTGTTGCAGAGAGAGCGATCAACATCTGGGAGGATGTATGTATGTATGTTAAGGCAGTTGAAGAGAAGAAAATCTCTCACCCAAAGAACAAGTCGTTTGAAACTGTTCAGAAGTGTACCAAGATGGCTGATTTTCCAGCAAGACTGAGCTTTTTCATATCGGTGGCAAAGTTGGTCAATCCTTTTCTAACAGACTACCAAACTGATGCGCCAATGTTGCCCTTCTTAGCCGAAGAGCTAACCAGAATGCTTGCTTCCCTTATGCAGCGATTCTTAAAACTTGACAGGAGTACCCTTACTTCTCCTTACAAGATAATGCAGGTAGATATTAGCAGCGAGGCCATTCAGCTGCCTTTGACCAAGGTCGATATTGGATTCTACACTGAAAGGATCTGAAAGCAAAAAACATCATCAGTGAGCGAAGGATTCTGGAATTTCGCGTCCAAGCAAAACAGTTTCTTGCTGCAATGACCCGCAAGCTCATTGACAGATGACCGCTTAACTATGCACTTGTGACAAATATGGGATGCTTAAATCCAAAGAGCATGGCAAAAGACAAAGAAAACTCTACTGCAAAGCCGAAAAGGATGCTTAGCTCCCTTACTGATGCAAACAGACTTGAGGATTCATGTGATGACATCCTAAGAGAATACTCAGAAGCATGTAATGAGGCATCAAGAAGTGCAGAGATGAGATAATTTGATCCGAAGAAAGACAGACTGGACTCTCTGATGTGCACATTTCTGTCTGAGTCTCGCTATTCATCTTTATTAAAGGTGGTCCACGTGTTGCTTGTCTTGTCCCATGGACAAGCCTCTATTGAAAGAGGATTCTCCGTCAACAACGTAGTTGAAGAGGACAATCTTCTAGGGCACTCGCTAATATCTTTGAAGGCTATATATGATCATATCAAATACGTAGGAGGAATTCAGAACATTATTATCGACAAGTTGCTCATGTTAGCCACTTCAGCAGGTAGGCAAAAATACCATATGTATCTTGATGAGCAGAAATGTGAAAAGGAAAGAAAAAGAAAAGGACTGCTTGATGAGATAGATGAACTGAAAGCAGAAGTCTAGACTGCAAGCAGATATCAAAAGTCTTCAAGAATCAGCAGACAAGTTTGCAGAGGAAGCCGAGTCAACTGGCAGATTAACTTGTATATCCAAATCAAACAGCCTCCGACGTACAGCAAAGGATGTCTCAAGAAGAACTCATTCAGAAACAAATTGATGAACAAC